TCACTGTAGGAAGCTTCTGCTGCTGCCACAGTACACAGAAAAGCAGCTGCCAGCTTCTTGGGTGTCCCCGGTTCACCTATCACTCTATTGCTTCCAGCCACAGAATACAGACTGTGTTGGAGCACCAATGTATATTGACAGTAATTGGTAGCACGGGTGCTGGTATACAGGAACGTTTGTCCCAAATGGAAAATGGATTCTTTTGGGCTCCAGTAATATTGTTGCAAGTCCCAGACATGTCAGATTTCCTGCACACTCATAACACCTGCCAGAGCTAGAAGCTTGGCACACCCTCTCCCTCTCTGCCTGCCCTCCCTCCCCCAGAGCCTGAAGTCTTTCACAGATGCAGGGCCGGCACTGGCTTTTTTGCTGCCCCAGGCGAAAAAGCCTCTGGCCGCCCCCCTCCCCATGGGGGGGGGCGGCCGGGGCCCCGGGGGGAGGGCGGCGAGCCCCGGCGGGGGCTCCGCTCTCCCCCCGGCGGCCGGGGGGAGGGCGCGGGGCAGGGAGGGCGGCCAGAGCGCCAGGGGGAGGGCGGCGAGCCCGGCTGTGGCCCCGCTTTCCCCGGCGGCCGGAGCGCCGCGCCGCCCCCCTCCAGGTGCCGCCCCAAGCACCAGCTTGGGTGCCTGGTGCCTGGAGCCAGCCCTGCACAGATGCTGGGAAATTTGAAAGACTCTCAATCTCAACAACTGACCAGCTCATAGGAATAAATTATTTGTCCCTGACTGCTTTAAGGCTCTAAATTTAGGGGAATATGCTAAACTTATATTTCAGTATAATTGTCCACACTAGGGATTTGCACCATTTTACCCATATCTATTTCTAAAGCAAGACAAAAACTATGTAGAACAAGTTGCTCTCTCGTGTGCCAAATTTTTTTTTAAACCAGATCTCCTCCCGTGTGACTTGTGTCTCCATAAGGGAATATCCTCAAAGTGACTCCACCTCTGTTATAACATTTTCCTGTTTGAAAATTTCAGGGCAAGGTAGGGGGTATAATTGTGGTGAATGCCGGAGACTTGCCCCAGTTTCAGCCAGCGGTGTAGTTGCACTGGTTCAAACCCTTAGTACAGGCAGGCTAAGCTGTGATTTGCATCAGGCTGGAATTGGAGCACGTACCCGGGACAGTTGTTAAAATGAATAGAAGATGTGTGGCTAAGTTTCCTGTGCTTGTTTGAAAACTGGTTTATCCTGAGGTTTCGTAATAGGAAGGATGTTGTGTGAGAGAGAGAAAGAGAGTGTGTGTGATACCTAATCTCATACTGATTGTTGGGACCATTTACACATTTGTACAGAGCAATTTACACTGGTAACATTTGAAGGAGAATGGTTCCCTTATGTGCTGGCACTTTATAACTACAGCTGCATTTTCTTCATTAAAAAACACCCAATACAGAGATGACAGGCAAATGTGCATCATTTATGGCTCTAATATAGAATCAGATCTAAAGGTGCTAGTGGGCTCAGGGAGGCTTGCAAGGCTGAGCAAACACTGCACTGGGAAAGGGAGCTTTGCAGCTCACTGTCACCGTATGTCTACTGTGTGCTGCTGGCAGACGCGGTACTGCAGTGCTACACAGCAGCATCCCCTTGCCTTGCCTTGCCTTGCGGACGGCAGATGGTCCAATACGACTGCTAGCTGTCGTCGTCGTCCCGTGGGTGCTCCTGGCCGACCTCGGTTAGGTTGGTCGGGGGCGCCTGGACAAAAATGGGAATGATGCCAGGTCATTCTCTTCTTTAAATTTCATCTAATAGAGATTTAGTCCTGCCTGGAATATCATGCCAGCTGGAGGCTTCTGCCTCAGGCTGCTCTCCCAGTCGGCAGCACCGCGCGGTCGCACCTACCCCAACCTACCCCTTGCTCCCATGGCTCATGAAGCCTGGACAGTAGTAAGGAGCAGTTCAACTATAGGCTGAGCAAGTGCAGAATGGTGGTAGAATGTGCCTTTGGACGTTTAAAAGCTCGCTGGCGCAGTTTACTGACTCGGTTAGACCTCAGCGAAACCAGTATTCCCATTGTTATTACTGCTTGCTGTGTGCTCCACAATCTCTGTGAGAGTAAGGGGGAGATGTTTATGGTGGGATGGGAGGTTGAGGCAAATCGCCTGGCCGCTGATCACGTGCAGCCAGACACCAGGGCGGTTAGAAGAGCACAACAGGGCGCGCTGTGCATCAGAGAAGCTTTGAAAACCAGTTTCATGACTGGCCAGGCTACGGTGTGAAAGTTCTGTTTGTTTCTCCTTGATGAAAACCCGCCCCCTTGGTTCACTCTACTTCCCTGTAAGCCAACCGCCCTCTCTCCCCTTTGATCTCCCCTTGCAGAGGCAATAAAGTCATTGTTGTTTCAAATTCATGCATTCTTTATGAATTCGTCACACAAATGGGGGGATAACTGCCAAGGTAGCCCGGGACGAGGAGGGAAGCACAGGGGTGAGGTAGTTGTAGGGGCACCCCTTAGAATGGCATGCAGCTCATCATAGAAGCGGCATGTCTGGGGTTCTGACCCGGAGCGGCCATTTGCCTCTCTGGTTCTTTGGTCGGCTTCACGCCACACTGCTGCGAGTCCCTGTTATAACCTCTGTCCTTCATGCCCTTGGAGATTTTTTCAAATATTCCCACATTTCGTCTTTTGGAACGGAGTTAGGCTAGCACGGATTCGTCTCCCCGTACAGTGATCAGATGCAGTACCTCCCTTCGGTCCATGTTGGAGCTCTTTTGCGATTCTGGGACTCCATGGTCACCTGTGCTGATGAGCTCTGCACGGTCACCTGTGCTGATCAGCTCACTACGCTGGCCAAACAGGAAATGAAATTCAAAAGTTCGCGGGGCTTTTCCTGTCTACCTGGCCAGTGCATCTGAGTTGAGAATGCTGTCCAGAGCACTCTGGGATAGTTCCCGGAGGCCAATACCATTGAATGCGTCCACACTACCCCAAATTCGACCCAGCAGAGTCAATTTCAGCGCTAATCCCCTCATCGGAGAGGAGTACAGAAATCGATTTTAAGAGCCCTTTAAGTCGACAAAAATGGCTTCCTCATGTGGACGGGTGCAGAGTTAAATCGATCTAACGCTGCTAAATTCGACCTAAACTCGTAGTGTAGACCAGGGCTAAGGGACTTCACACCACTGTAGCTGTATTGATGTCATTAAAATGGTACTGCTGAGCTGAATTGATACAAACCCATAAACTTCATATATACTATGCTGGCCTAAAAGAGGGTTTACCCCAAATCAGTTTACGTACTGGATTAAGCTGCACCAGTGGTGCAATGCATTTACATTAGGGGTTAAATTTCCTCAGTGTAGACATGTCTCAGACTCTTACCACTGTGCAACGTACACACCCAACCCTTTGCCTGTCATCTCTGAATTGGGGCCACTAAGAGCCTGGTCCACTACTGCATTATTCCTATTTTACATCGGTGAGTTCAGTGGTGTTACGCTGATATAAAACTGGACCAACGCAACGATGAATTGGGCCCTCAGAGTCAAAGCTGATGTTTGCCACCCCTCACACAACCAGGTTCCAGAAGAAAGGAGAGTAGCAAGACAAGCAACTAACAAGAGAGTGTAAGAATACATGTGTTAAAGTCAGTTATTCTCTGCTTTACTTTACATCTTCCATCTCCTTGGCATGGAAATTACTCCCTTGCAGTCACATAACATTAGGTGAGTGTAACTACATCTGGGAATGTCTGCATCTAGGAAAATGCATGTCTATTGGAATAGAATTTACATCACCGTAAGCAACACGACTGAATTTGCCCCATTGTCGTTTCCCCCACCTCCCCACCCCCTTTTCCTTTACAAACAGTTCTAACAGTTTTGCTTGAATTTGGTGCTTGGGCTAGTGAAGGAATTGTAGCCTTGGCTAGAGCATGGTATATGAGAAACCAGGGCTGTGAAGGTTTCCTCTGTGCAGTCCTCCCATGGACATCAGTCCTGATTTGAAGTATCCTCTGCTGTTCCTTGGCCCTTCCCTGTAACTCTGCTAACCTATATAATCTGAGCTGGATTCTCTTCTCGTGTATGCCAATTTTACCCCAGTGTGACTCCACTCACTTAATTGAAGTTGCTCCTGGCTTACATACGTGTAAGTGAGAGAAGAATTAGAGCCACCGTCTATCTCTGTGTCCATCATGGGTTTCTAGGCACTAAATAGAAAATTGAGAAGCAAATGAATATTTGCATCACACATTGATCATCTCTTAGTATCCACATCCCACTACTTCTTCCCTGTGTCCTGATATGTAACAACCCCCTGACATTTCAACCCTGTGTGCTCTCAGTGAACCTCAGTCTTGACCTGAAGGGTGGTGGACCACCCTACAACTCTGATAGTATACCTCATTTTTCTTTACCTGTATACCCCCAGCTGTTTCCATTCTGGGTCTCTCCTGAGTAGAATCTTTCAGTGATGCCAGATTGAGTGTATTTTGTTATGTGGACCAGCATCATCAAGGAGGCAACTATCAAATACCTTTTCACTTCATGAATGGTGACTCCTTTAGACACTTTCCACCCAATGTAATAGGTGCTGTACAAACAGAACAAAAAGATGGTCTCGGTCTCAAATTGCTCACACTCTAAGTATTTTATTTTAGTGTTCTCTATAAATGAGCGATGCCCGTGAATCACAGTGGTAAAAAGTTCCTTCAGTGAATATGCCTCACTCTCTGTATTATGCATCCAAGGAATGCAGCACACATCACCACAGAGCTGGCTTTTAGCTGAGCTACATGTTAACATATGCCCATGCGCATAGCAGGAAAAAAACCTACAGAACAACCATTTAATAGTGTTCTTTCATAAAGTTGCTCCTGTCTGTTTATTTGACATTTAAAAAAAATGGCCCTTCTAACAAATGGAACTTGAATACAAAAATGTAATGACATTTATTCTCACAGCTGCCAGCAAACTCACATGCACCATGAGTCATTCCAGATGTGGATAAAAACAGTGTGCCTATGAAAGCAAGTTCGCTGATCCCTAGGAGAGTTGGTTTAGGGGAAGAGCTGCTACATTGACTTCAATAGCACTCAAGAGAACAGACAGGTTCTTCCTTTGGGGTGGGGAGGTAGTTGTCTCTTCCTGAAAAGGAAGCAAGGAAACAAATAGCTAATATACAGATAGAGAGAGAGAGAGATTTTAAAGTAAAGGATGCACTGGAAGACTTTGCTACTGCTGCTTTTCTATTATAATGCCCATGCCACTGTGAGCCCGAGGTGGAACAGAGGTAAGATTTAAATATTACAAACAAAAACTATTTATGAGAAAACTCTGAAATTGCAGAATGGCTCTGACATTATGATTTTTTTTTTCATTTGTCACTCTCAGCTCTTGAATTTTTTCCCATTCACAGCAGGTTAATTAAAAAACAAATCTTCTCACTTTCTTTCTTCTCCCCCCTTCTATTAAAATAAAATTAGAGGCAGCTTTTTCATGACATGAAATCCAGAAGAAAAACCTTGGCAACCACAAGGGGCATAATTCTATCTTCTCTCCTGGGCAGGTGTTAGGAGTTTAAAAGAAGTAGCTACATAGGGCAAAAATTAAAATACCTGCAGGATACAGGGCACCTAAGTAATAGGAACTCCGAGTCTGGGGGACTAGCATGTTTCATATACAGAAAGCTGTCAGTATGAAGCTACATGGCATTACCTATGTATATTTATACTTTTTTTTTCCGGTGACTTACAAAGTAAGTGTGTGTCCAGCCAATTCAGGAATTACCTTATGTGGCCCCATCCAGTATCTTTACTAATGATTTTTTTTTTTTAACTTTCTCTTTTTCTTTATTCTCTCCACTGGAATTTGGCTGTGGTTCTGTGACTGCTTTGGTAGCACTGTCTGGAATGGGGAAAGGAAACACCTCCTAACAGAATTTTTTGGGACTGAACCTAAACCCACAGACTTTTCAAGGGAACTTTGGCACCAATGAAGTACAAGTTAAATTTATTATTCAGCCCGCCCCCCCCCTCCTCCTTCTGTGGACTTGATTCCTTTCTAACTGAGTCTGTGCTTTATAACAAGAGTTGGATTTTTGAAGGGGCATCAGTGAGTGAAGTTGGATGAGACTTTAACTCTTCTCTAGGAGGCAGTATGGCCTAGTGGCTAGCACACTGGGCTAAGTCTCAGAAGACCTGGGCTCTATTCCCAGCTCTGTCACTGGCTGCGGGGCACTGAGCAAGTCTCTTCAGCTCTCTGTCTTAGTTTCCCCATCAGTAAAACGGGGATAGTGCTACTAGCATCCTTTGTAAAAAGTGCTTAGAGATCTACCAATGAACAGCACTGTATAAGGCATTACCTCATCTCTGTGTCACTCTGATAAGGGGATAAAAAGGAAATAAGAATTATGCATTGCTTTGAAATAAATCCTACCTCTGGGTGGATCAGGGCATCTTGTCAGGACCAATGTCTTTGAAGTAGAGAGGACAAAAATGACTACTATACGTTTAATGCCCTTCTTTGTTTTTATTGATTCAATTACTTTAATTTATCGAATTCACGTAATTACTAAAGTCCAAGGATCATGAACAAAATGTGGAGGGAAAAATAAGAGGGCCCCATTCTCCCCCTAGTAGCTCTTAGAGAGTGGTAATGCTGAGAGTTTTAACTCCATTTTCTTGCACATTTTTGGGGCGAGAATAAGGGTGGCACTGCCTGGTGAGCCCTACAGAAAAGAGGTAGGAAATCCAACTCCCACCTGCTGGTGTAGGGGTATCAGCTGGAGGCAAGGGGCTTCAATGGGATTAACCCCTGACTCTTCACTGGCACCTGGCCCTCTCAGCTTCATGGCAGATGCTGGAGCTGTTTCCAGGCGCTCTTGCTACCATAGCTGCCCCAGGAATTCCTGCCCCCCCACCCATTAAATACCAACATGGCAGTCCCTCCCCTTAGTGGAAACCTGAGAATAGAGTGTTGAGCTTTACATCTTGCCCTAAAGGTCAACAGACTTGGGCTCTTCAGAGCAGTGGGGGAAGCCAGTTTCAGTCAGGGGCCTTCGTTAAAAATAACCTGTCCTCAGTCCTAGAGGGTTAAACCTGGAGACTGCTAGCTTGAGCACCATCAGCTGTTAAGCTCAACTGCCATGACTGTGAATAAGAGGGGGTGGGATGGGGTGGGGGGAGGAGCTATCTGAGATGGCCAGGACCCGAACCATTCAGCAAAGCCAACAACCTGCATGGCATCTGGAAGTGAACAGAATGATGGAATATGTTCTTTGGGGTTCATACCTCTTCACAGAGAAGCAGGCACCTTCCAGCATCTCCTGTAGCTTTCTAGTAGTCTTCCAGAGTGCCCCATGGTGGAGCCCATTACACAATCCAGTCTCAAAGGGACAAAGGCATGAATGACAGTAGCAAGATCCTGAAGTGAGAGAAATAGTTGCAACCAGATGTAGATAAGGGAGGAAAAAGCCCCCTTGGCCACCAATCTCTGTGTGTGTCTAGGAGCATCTGGGAGTCCAGATGAAAACATATTTGTATCAATAATGAAGACAGGACACATCCTTAATATACACTCAGAATCCTTCCCTCAACCCACAAGCATCCCCTCCGTCTTTTCTGAGCAAAACCTCAGCCAGCTAACTCTCATCCAAGTCCTGATCTAGGCTTGGCACTGGGAATGCAAAGGCAGCACAGCATCTGGATCTGATGAAAACCTAGAGCTGCATATCATCTGCATACTGACCGGTAGCACGAATTGTTTAAAGCAAACACTCCCTCACAAAACAAAAAGTCCCTCGTTAGTTAATAGTTGGCCTTCACAGTAAAGATGAGCATTGGAGGTTTGGGTAAAATGGTACCTGGATCAGAATCCCACTGTCAAGGATTTGGCCTGTCTCTGCTCCGAGATAGCGATGGGCTACGATGAGAGACATTTAGTTAAATCTCTGAACTTTGAGAGCTCTTATAAATGGAACCTAGGGTCTGAATCACACTGTAACAGAGCACTGGGCCTTAGGTGCATGTGTACATCCAAATGAACTTGTTACAGCCTCTAAGCTCTTTAAAATAGGGTGCTGTAGTCACAAGCACATGGCTAGGAGTGAGCACATGACCTGCAGGAACCCAAATCTAAATCTTTCTGCCCCTGCAACAGGAGAGACTTAGGGAAGCCTTAGGGTGGGTCTCTCCATAGTAGACAGGAATGGCTACCAAAGGGAGATAGCATCTCCTCTCCACTCCCAGCTGTGGTGGAAGCTGGGTAAGCCTTGGGAGGTTAGTACTCAGTAGCTTGAATGTATTTGCTCTTGTTTTTGAGCGCTTGTTTGAAAATAAAGCCAGACCTGAGGAAAGGGTCTTGGGCTGAATGGTGGTTGGGAGCTTTATTCTACTTCCCCCTCCTGGTGAGTTAGATCACTGGTTGGTGTGCACTATTCTTAGCCTGGGCTTTGCCAAAATTTAAAAAAAAAAAAGGCAAACATACATCTTTCTTTCTTCTTGCTCATCCCTATTCTACAGGAATGTTTGTAGTGCCATATGGAATATCACACCCACTCTGTCTCATGTACCTGCCCATATCCAAATGTGAGATGTATCAGCAGGTAGCCGTGTTAGTCTGTATCCACAAAAACAACATGGAGTCTGGTGGCACCTTAAAGACTAACAGATTTATTTGGGCATAAGTTTTCATGGGTAAAAATCTTCACTTCTTCAGATGCATGGAGTGAAAATTACAGATGCAGGCATTATATAATGACACATGAAGAGAAGGGAGTTCCCTCACAAGTGGAGAACCAGTGTTGACAGGGCCAATTCGATCAGGGTGGATGTAGTCCACTCCCAATAATAGATGAGGAGGTGTCAATTCCAGGAGAGGCAAAGCTGCTTTTGTAATGAGCCAGCCACTCCCAGTCCCTATTCAAGCCCAAATTAATGGTGTTAAATTTGCAAATGAATTTTAGTTCTGCTGTTTCTCTTTAAAGTCTGTTTCTGAAGCTTTTTTTTGTTCAAGAATAGTTACTTTTAAATCTGTTATAGAATGTCCAGGGAGATTGAAGTGTTCACCTACTGGCTTTTGTATGTTACCATTCCTGATGTCCGATTTGTGTCCATTTATTCTTTTACGTAGGGACTGTCTGGTTTGGCCAATGTACATAGCAGAGGGGCATTGCTGGCACATGATGGCATATATCACATTAGTAGACGTGCAGGTGAATGAGCCCCTGATGGTGTGGCTCATGTGGTTGGGTCCTCTGATGGTGTCGCTAGAGTAGATATGGGGACAGAGTAGGCAACGAAGTTTGCTACAGGGATTAGTTCCTGGGTTGGTGTTTCTGTGGTGTGGTGTGTAGTTGCTAGTGAGTACTTGCTTCAGGTTGGGGGGTTGTCTGTAAGCGAGGACTGGCCTGCCTCCTAAGATTTGTGAGAGTGAGGGATTGTTTTCCAGGATAGGTTGTAGATCATTGATAATGCGCTGGAGAGGTTTTAGCTGGGGGCTGTACGTGATGGCCAGTGGTGTTCTGTTATTTTCCTTGTTGGGCCTGTCCTGTAGTAGGTGATTTCTGGATACCCATCTCGCTCTGTCAATCTGTTTCCTCACTTCCCCAGGTGGGTATTGTAGTTTTAAGAATGCTTGATAAAGATCTTGTAGGTGTTTGTCTCTATCTGAGGGATTGGAGCAAATTCGGTTGTATCTTAGGGCTTGGCTATAGACAATGGATCGTGTGATGTGTCCCGGATGGAAGCTGGAGGCATGTAGGTAAGTATAGCGGTCAGTAGGTTTCCGGTATAGGGTGGTGTTTATGTGACCATCACTTATTTGCACTGTAGTGTCCAGGAAGTGGATCTCTTGTGTGGACTGGTCCAAGCTGAGGTTGATGGTGGGGTGGAAATTGTTGAAATCCAGGTGGAATTCTTCAAGGGCCTCCTTTCCATGGGTCCATATGATGAAGATGTCATCAATGTAGCGCAAGTAGAAGAGGGGAGCTAGGGGATGATAGCTAGGGAAGCGTTGTTCTACGTCAGCCATAAAAATGTTGGCATACTGTGGGGCCATGCGGGTACCCATAGCAATGCCACTGACTTGAAGGTATAAGTTGTCCCCAAATCTGAAATGGTTGTGGGTGAGGACAAAGTCACAAAGCTCAGCCATCAGACGTGCTGTGGCCTCATCAGAGATAGTGTTCCTGACAGCTTGTAGTCCATCCTCATGTGGAATATTGGTGTAAAGTGCTTCTACATCCTGAAAACACCATGCTGGCCACCATGGAAGATCACCAATGGATTGTAG